ATTATATACTGGGTGAGCAAGATCCAGCTCATCGTCTATGGAAGAGGATGGGGTCGCAGCAAACACACGTCGCTGTGTATATTCGGAAGGGTTTTCCGGAATGTCAATCGACACAATTTTGCTAGCAGAAAGCCGAGTAGCAGTTGGAGGGGAAAAAAGAGGCGCCTTCTGGAACCGAACTGGGCCCTGAGATTTCGGCGCCGAGATGGGCATAGTCGCGGCGCCGGATATTAGAGGCAGGCTTTTCGTGTCTGCATCGTCAAGGGTCGTCGACCAGCTCCTCTTCTGGCCAGCCAGCGGCGGTCCAACAGCCCCCGTTTGCCGCTCTTGAGCCTCCTGGACGCTCGTCTTGTGCAGAAGACCTCTCATGCTCTCCATGGCTGCGGGGAAGCAGGCGGCGACATGCACCTACAAAGAAGACAGATTCATCGAAGGAAAGAGGGGAAAAAACAGAAAAGTATCAGTCAGCAATCTCATGATCCGCGTACCATATCCTCGGCGCCTTTTGACCTGGATCGGTGGTGGAGAGAGAAGCGCGCTATTGCCAGGCAGATGTGACAGGGTCGGGTCGCCACGAGTAAGACTAACACGCGAAGTCACGTGAATTGACTTATGTAATTGGAAAGCAGCAGAAAGCCAACACAAAGGAACCCAAGGGCAGGGGTACGCCACGGGTACCGGTACCTGTCCCCTAAGCGCCGCACCGCACTCGCACAAGTACCTCGCTCAGATTGCTGTAGCGTCCCATCCCGTTCTGGCGGACAGCGGACTGAATGTTATTCGGTGCTAGTGCGGGAGCAGAGACGCCTAGGCTGCATCGAGACAAGGGCAAGTCTCGATGCGTCCATGCGGCTATGCTAGATTAGCTGCCAGCTTCGGACGTTTCGTTTCCTATAATATTTCCCTCTCCTTTAACTCCTCCCCCGGAAGGCTTGCCCTGTGAAAGGGTAAAACTGACTACGGGCAGGCATCGCAGCACAATCGAAGAGTATGTGCTAGATCTGACTTGTAGCGGTACCTCAAACACGCGCCTGTAAACGTTCTTCTGCAGTCGCTGCTCCAGACCTGCGGGGCGTTCCTGGAACCTGACAGTGACACACACCCACACCCAATCGCTGCAGCCCCGATTTCCAAGGATGCCCCCCCGCGGCTGGTGATTGGCCGGCCAAGGAACCCTGCGCCATTCCGCTTCCAGAACTCGGAGTCTGGCGATACATGCTGGACGTACCTGTAAGTAGCAGGGCGCTGAGGAGGTTTGTAGCTGTACCTGGAACGAGCTGTTGTTAAATTAAATCAATGCCAGCGGCAATGGTAACACGAATCTGCAATTGGCGCACAACGCTGACAAGTAGCACCAGGACATCGGCCTATAGACTGGCGTGTAGATGAGAGCGCGACAATATCACGGAAACTACCAGTCGCAATCAACAGGCTGAGATTCTTTAGCTTTAGTACTAGGAGGGTATCTTGACCCGTGCTGCAGTTTGCTCAGGCCACCCAGCATCCCCGTTTTACACACGTAGAGAATGCAAAACCACTTGAAACTCGTGCGTGGCATTGAGCCCTCTTCGACCCTTAGTAGCTGTATCTCTTACCCCCAATAGTGCTGAACGGGCGATGTGGATGAGGCGTCTGACGACAGCCGCACGAATGGCTTCCGCCCAAATCTGGCCCTTTATCGATGAGGCTGTCCTCAACAAAATCGCCCGCCTGCTGATATCGGTGGGCTGTGGCAGTGTGGCCTTACCTGTACAATCGACATTTCGCCCATGTCGCCGTTGATGAGCAAACAAGCTAGTGTGCGCATGTATCGTATATGTGTGTGTCGGGCGACTGTCCAAACACGCAACCTTGGGCAACACAATCTTGCCCATGGATGGAGTTCAGCTGTCTATCACGAGTGTGCCAACTGTGCTTATACGCGGGCTGTTTTGCGAAACCGATGGGCGATCCGTTCACCACCGATAATGCCAGCTGCCTACTGTACCTAATCATTTAGGCTTTAGCGCGGTCATAATGAACCTTGGCCCCGGCGCCGCTGGCAATCGATGGAAGTTTTTTTCCTTTTTCTTGTGGCGCTGCTAGCGGAGCTTACTACCACCACCAGTCGTTCTACCTTCGCAGACTTGGGCTCCACAAAGCCGATCCGGGCGATTCTTTGTTACTTTAGACTCTTCTCATCTGCTCTGCCAGGCTCTCGCACAAAGGACAATAAAAAATCACATCCGAGTAGGTGCCTCTGGTAGGCTGCCCTGTGACCGGCGGGATGCTGCCGTTAGCCTGCTTTTGCTTTTTTTTTTCTCCGCCGGAGCACAGTTCGTTCGATATGTCGCCACTTTTCACTCTGCCTTACCGTCTAATACGCTGCGTGCTGGTGCGATGATGGCCGAAATTTCATTGCTACCGCGGGTTGCTCGGACTTTTCGCGGTTACTGCGCTATTAACGTGTGGTCGCAGCAGTATCAGATTGTGACAGACAGACGGCCCCGGCTCTAGGTTGTGACGTCGTGGCAATGGTGACGATGACGGCAACACATCCGGATTCGCATCCCCAGAGGCTGATCCGGCAAAGCTGCTTTGTACGTGCGAGACAGCCAACAGCTGTCGCGCTGTATAAAAAAAAAAACGGTTTATGGGTAACCTGCAACTTGTAGCTCGCACATTGCTCCTCAAGCACAAGATGCCTGGTGCTGTCAGTTTCGCGGTGGTTGTGTATAGTACCTAGACGCGTGGGCGACTTGCACACAGATCTATCGTCTTATGCGGATTACCTATTACTCGTGTTGCGGAGCAGACAGTGGGAATTCTCGAGGTACCTGGCGACGGGTACCCTCAATATCCGACCGGCATGACAACGCTCGTGTATCCGCATGCCAATTAACTGCAGCAGCTCAGTGATTCGAATATGAAATGAGCCAGCCTGGCCGCAATACGCCGCTAGTCTCGCACGATTATGCCTTTTCACCTCGTCTCTCGCAGCCATGCATACTACTAGGGAGGCGTCTCTCCCTCAATCCTTGCGACTCTGGCCGCCAAGCAAACAACGACTCTGGCGTAACGAAATAGCAGTAGATTAGGGTCTGTACAGACGTGTAGTCCAGACAGTTAGCTGGTAGTACACACTATATGCGCCATACGTCACCATTCGCCTTGCAAGATTGAGCCCAGGCGAGCAAGCAAAAAGGGTGACGCGAGCGAATGCTGCTCTCTAGTGCTCCTTGGACGTCCTGGTCAGGTGGGTGGATATTCGAACAATTCCCATCTTGCGTGTGCCGGCGTCCCTACGAGAAGCCCCATAAATTCTGCTAGGGGGCTGACCATTCTGGGAATTGCTCATGACCTCACCTCCGGAACTCAAAGCGCTCTTCTGCGATAATAACCCGCGCCAGAAAGTCCCCTAGAAAAAAAAAAGATGGCAGTCTCTATGGGGGTGGTTTATCGGCTAGAGGTTTTTGTAAATAGATTAGAAGCGAGTTAGCACCTGTAAGCGCACCGATCTGTGAGAGGCTTGATATACACGTCCCAAGCCCTTCATTTCCCAGAATGGTCAACCAGGTTGAGATGAGGACAAGGCAGATAATTCATTGGCGGCTTGCTACCTGAGAGTGTGTTTTCGCAACGAGTTGTGCCCAAAGCAAGGCCGCTGTCCGTGCCAACGCCAAGTTGCACCGGCAGTACTTTGCCTATGCGTGGGAATCCGTACCCACGAGGTAGATGCGGTCCGATGGTCCTGTTTCCTGCTGCCGCGCCCAGAGCAGCCCACACGCGTGATACGTGCTGCCAGAGGTCGAAAAACCAGCAGAGCAGAGCATGGCACAGAACATTCTTGCAACTCGCACTGCATTAGCAGGCAGGAGACGCCCCAGGTCTGAGCAGAAGCAGTGCCCGTATTGGGCGTGCAGCCGGCCTATATCATGGATGCTGTCCGTTGCCTGCCACGAGGCCTGCAGCTTCATCGCATCGCCCCTAGCCACGGCGGAGAGCGGTCTATTAAATGGAACCTGCTAGCAAGGAAGATCGCCAGAGAGCCGTTAGCAGCACACACAATAGAGACCTTGGACACCTTAGACACCTTAGACACCTTAGACACCTTAGACACCTTAGATAGGCAGTACGTAGTGCCGTGTTGTTCCAGGCTGGCCAACCAGCGCCTCTCGTTAGCAGGCCATCGAGGCGTTTCGGTAGCTTCCCGCTTTGTTCAGCGCCCTGCATTACAGATGCATGATGCATATTGGATTTGGCATTTGGTAGACGAAGAAGCCTGGCAATGCGGTTTCCTCTTGCCAGGCCAACGCATTGCACGCAACAGCCACGCAGCAGCCACAGAATCGACCCAAGCGTGTGCGTCGTCCGTGGGTGGGCGCTGATGAACGCCTCATAGGAAAAAAAGCTGGGAGACGATCCGTCCATTCAGCAATGGTGTGAGCCCAGCGGCGGGCTTGTGGAGCACCACTCAATCAAGGGTGCGCCAGGTAGATATAAAGTCACTAGCATCGCCGCTTAGCCTCACGCGCGCAGGTTCCGCGGCACGGTTCGCCACAGGCTGCTAAGGCATACCTCTGCGCTACCTCGGCTACCTGGGCCTGGGAACGCTACTGCGTTAGTACCTGCTGGGTAGTGTCTGCCGCCCCCATGCTTGTACGGCGCCAGTGCCAGGGCATGTCTTCTTCAGACTCATGCCTATACTAACTCTCTTTTCCTCTCTCATTCAACCTTCTCTTCCCACGCCGTGGTCTTCGCGGCGAGAGACGACCTTTCTTGCTCTCGATCGCTAGTATTCCCGTGCCAACTCATCGCCCCGGATTCTCTACGGCACTGCAGAAGCTGTAAATTGCGTTTCGGTCTGGTGCCCTCGTCTTTTACACCGAAGCCCTCCATCGCTCTCATCCTTTCCCAAACTCTCCTTCACTCACACACGCTGCTCGTGGCATAAGACGGGCATGCCTTCACAAAGCTCCATTTGCCTCGTTCCACGGCCACACTGCTGATCTGCCGCCAATATGGTGCAACCGAGCGTGAGTTTTTCTCGTCTTTTGTTTTTTTATACTTTGCTCTCTTACAAGCCGCATTTGGCACTTCCTGCGATTTTTCTTCTATTTTCTATTTTGGATTCATTGGCGTACATGCTCGATATATTTTTCATCCGTCGCCTAACATTTTTTCTGACACGCACAACAGGATTCAAAATCTGCTGAGCCTGAAGCAAAGGCAACGCCCGAGGCAATGGCCAAGACGTCGTCCGCCTCAGGCGCGGCAGACAAAGACACAGTTATTGAGGCCATGCCCTACGGGACTCGCTCCCGCAACAGGACGGCCAACTCTCGTCCCAACTATGCCGAGGACAAAGACATGGACATGGACATGTATGATTACTACCCTGACAAAAAAGACAGCGACGCCGCCAAGAAGCCCTCGCGGCAGACCAACGGCGTCAGCAACGGCGAGACGTCTCGCGGCAACGGCAGCTCACGCAAAAATGCTGTTGCCGCGGCCGACGACTCCAAGGCCACCCCCAGCCAGAATGGCAGCCAGGATGCGAAATCCGGCGGAACGATTCACGCCTCACAGGCGACGTCGGGAACTGCCACTTCGCAGCCTTCGCGGAAACGCAAGGCGGCAGCTAACCAAAACGGCGGCGCGGCAGCGGCAGCATCAACCGCAACATCGGCTGCAGCAACGCCGCCGGCGTCGACGATCGCGGCGTCAAAAAAGAACGCCTTGGCCGCGCAGGCCCAGCTCCAGGGCATGACATGGCCTGAATCCAACATGCTCACATTCGAGACGTGCAAAGGCCTGCCGGACAATGGTCGAATGGTGGCCGACGATGGCACGGTGCTCGAGGCGAATGGTAGGTAGCACGGCCGGGATCCACCTCCACCCTATCTATTGCCAGAGGGCAATTTGCACCTGCTAACAGAGCGTCTTGGCAGATCACGTCTATCTCGTGTGCGAGCCGCCGGGAGAGCCCTACTACCTGGGCCGCATCATGGAGTTCATGCACACCAACAACGACGCCTCGCGGCCGGTGGACGCGGTGCGCATCAATTGGTTCTATCGCCCCAAGGACATTGGGCGCAAGGCCAGCGACACGCGAATGGTCTTTGCCAGCATGCACTCGGACATCAGCCCCCTGACGGCCCTGCGCGGCAAGTGCACGATCAGACACCGGCTGGAGATCAAGAGCATGAACGACTACCGTCGCACGCCCGACAGCTTCTGGTACGAGAAGCTGTACGACAGGTACATCCAGAAGAACTACGATCTGATTCCCACCCGCCTCATAGTCAACGTGCCCGAAAAGGTCAAGAAGGTGCTGGACGAGCGCTGGCAGTACGTGCTAGTCGAGCAGGGGCGTGGCAAGGAGCTGACTAGCGCCGTTAAGCTCTGCAAGAGATGCAGCGGCTATTGCGCAAGGTACGTACCGTCGACACGACCCTACAAGGCGCTCCATCAGGCCTAGGGCGTCTTTTCTCTATGTTCTCTTTTCGTCGCGTCCTTGTCCCTGTCCTGTCATGTCTGTCATGTTGTCTCTGCTTCTGTCTCTGCCCTGCCCTGCCCTATTTGTTTTGTGTTTCCCCGTTGCACCTGCGGCGCTGCAAGTACCGTGCCGTACCGCTCCCCTGGCGCCCTTGGCCCTCGCCTGTCACTGGTACCTGCGATGCCCGGCTCCATTCGGCCAAAGTCCCTTGCACAGAGGACAAGGTTCCCGTGGTAGCTGGTACTTGGCCGCCAGCCCACTAGTACATTGCGTCTACCCCCCTCTTTCAGGGAGAGCCCTTTTTTTTTTCTTCAGGTACCTTCACCAAGGATTGCCGGCTTGGGCGCCCCTCCAGTTGGAGGAGCCCCAGTTACCACAACCGTCGACACACCCCCCTCCCATTCCTTCATTCTCCGCCTCGCCTTGCGTGTCTCCCCTCCCACCGTGTGCTTCTGCCGTGCGTGCATGTGCATGCAATTTGCTGGCTGGCCCAGAGTCGGACCACCGCCAGAGCCTAAAACTTCTGCTACAGCCCGTGACTGCGTTTCCGGGAGCCTGTTTAGGCACTGTCCGATGTCACTTTGAGCCGCTGAAGAAGCAGCATCGTGCAGCGCATAGCGCATCACCACATCGGCTCCCAAAAAGGGTCACACTGGAGAGCGCAAGAGTTTGGTTTGAACTTTATCATCAAACACTTGGGGGGAACAATTGAATATAGACTGGCAGCATTTGTTTTATTTTCTCTTACTTTTTCCTTTTACCTTTTCGCCCCCTCTCGATTTTCACATGCCAAACTACCTTTGATAACCTCCTGATACTAATATCAATTCCCCACCAACAGCAATGATTCCGTTGATTGCGCAGTATGTCAGCACACATACCACATGAACTGCGTCAAGCCACCGTTACTTAAGAAACCTTCACGTGGATTTGCATGGTCTTGCGCTGCATGCAGTCGTGCTCAGGAGCGCAAGCTGGAAGCTCGCCATACGCCAAATACAATCGACACCGCGGATGCCGACGACGATGAGCTCCTGGACGAAGACGAAGAGGATGCTCATGGCGTCGAAACCGACAGGACAAGTCCTGCCGACGACGATGCGCCTCATCAGGGAACCTCGGAGCAGATTTACCAGGCTAGTCTTTGGCCGTGGCGTTATCTCGGCATGCACTGCAAGCCGGAGGATGCCCTGGACTACGATGATCGCATCTACCCTCGTGCAGGCACCCGCATTGGACCTAGAAACCAGGCCACTGTTGGCGCGTGGCCCGGACAGCCTGTTCAATATGTCAAGCCGCTGGAGTTTAAAAAGGGCGGCAAAAAAGACCAGAAATTCATCAAGGAACAGCAGGAGGCCGAAAAGGCCCGCCGAGGACAGCGGCCGAAGTGGGTCCAGGATCAGCCACCGGGGTACGTTGCTCGCGGTGAGGACTTGGACGAAAATGACCCCAATTGCACGGCCACATTGCTATGGAAGCCGCCAACCTCAGATACCCCGTCTCTTGATAAGATCAATGACTATGTTGCCGAAGCCATGTTGACGGCCAAAAAGCTGGACCTCCCCCCGCGCTCTACTAACCTTCGGGATGCCGCCATCGAATCCTTGTTTCGTGAAGACTTTGATGAGTCCAAGGCCCTGACTATGCTCTCAGAGAAACCCAGGAGTGAATTCAAAGAGCCCAACTTCAGCCCAGCCGAGGCCAAGAAATTTGAAGAAGGCGTTTCAAAGTTCGGCTCCGAGCTGCATCTTGTCATGAAACATGTCAAATCGAAGCCGCCGGGCGAGATTGTCCGGCACTATTATGTTTGGAAGAAGACCGAAAAGGGACAGCAAGTTTGGGGCAGCTTCCCCGGCCGAAAGGGAAAGAAGCAAGCTAGGCGCGAGGATATTGCAGCTTCAAAGCTGGCTGACGATGTGGCCAATGACGACGATGATTCTGCATTCGACGCAGACAAGGCGATTGAGAAGAAGCGAAGCTTCATTTGCCAATTTTGCAATAGGACGCAGGATCGTCAATGGAGAAGAGCGCCGAACCCGCTTCCTGGGCTTGTAAATGACCAGGGCCTCAAGGGCACTGGGAAAGATAAAGCTGGGAACCAATACGTTGTCGCCTTATGCCGGCGCTGCGCTGAATTATGGCGACGTTATGCTATTCGATATGAAGTTATTGAAGAAGTGGCCAAGAAGGTTGCGCAGGCTGGTGGCCGCGCATGGAAACGCAAGCAAGATGAAGAACTTCTCAAAGAGCTCCAGCTTGCACAGGAAATGGGATATATGACGCCCGAACGAGCTCCGACTCCTTCTAAAGCCGCTGCCCCCCAGCCCGGCGAGACCCAGGAGCCTCCTAGAAAGAAGCTCAAGACTGCAGCCGATAAAGAAGCCGAAGCAACACCCTCAGAGGCCGGTAGCACTCCAAGCGCAGCTCCGATTAAGAAGAAGGAGAAGGCAGAGAAAGCAGCCACCGAGCCGCCTGCGGCCCCAGAGATGCCAAAACCACGGACTCTTCCCTGCGCCATCTGCGATCAGATGGAGCCAATGGGAGACCAGCACCTCTCATGCCGAGAGTGTCGACTTACGGTGCACCGTAACTGCTACGGCATTATTGACAACAAGGTCCAAGGAAAATGGATATGTGACATGTGTGCGAATGATAAGAGCCCACAAGTGTCGATCGTAAGTCCAGCTCAAACACCGAATTTTGATATAATATATATCTTTCTCTTCCTTCCCTTTTCACGCCGCAAGTTCTGTACTAACAATCTCTGTGTGTAGCAATACAAATGTGTCTTGTGTCCTGTTGAGCAAACTGAACATGATTTCGTTGAGCTGCCGAAACTCACACACCACAAGAAAAAGATGTCGGAGAAAGACCGCGAGCGAGAAAAGATGGAAGTTCAACAAGCCCGCAAAGCTGCTGAATACTACCGCAAGAAGCAGGAAGAGATGAATCGCCCAGTCAACCCCCGCGAGCCGCTCAAGCGTACAGCTGACAACAATTGGGTGCACGTCACCTGCGCCGTATGGACCCCCGAAGTCAAGTTCGGTAACGCCAAGGCAATGGAACCATCGGAGGGAGTCCCATCTATCTCGAGAGCAAAGTATGACGAAATCTGCCAAGCCTGTAATCAGAAAGGTGGGGCATGTGTGCCCTGCCATCAATGTCGTGCATCTTATCACGTTGAATGCGCTCGCCAAAAGGGGCATATTCTCGGATTCGATATTGCTCCGGTCAAGAGCTCCCGGCGAGATCAGTTTAACATTGTCACCATCAACGGCGAGAGTGGCATCATGTCGGCAGTACTTTGGTGCAAAGAGCACGCCCCCACCAAGACGATTGTTCATCGAATTCATGATGTCGTGAGCGAGACAGGGTTGAATGCCCTTCAGCTCTACGTCCAGAATTTCAAGCAGGCAGACTTTACCTTGACTGGTACTGTTCGCAAGGCCAATCAGATGACCACGGCGGCGAAAATATCCGGAGCACCAGCTCAGGCATGGAATCGCAGAGCATCTACTACGACGGCGCCTAATGGTACCTGGGCTCCGCCGCGCAACGGCGACGTGGCTGACCCTGGATGCCATCCCCAGCATCCGGGCGACAAGATCTGCATCACATGCGGCATAGACGTCGCCTTGAGGTGGTGGCCGATTGATAACTTGCAAGAGCGGAGACTTACCAACGGCCATCACGGGCTCATTGGATCAGAAGCACAAAAGTTTGTTGAGCAGCGAAAGTTCCAATGCCAGAAATGTCACAAGCTACGAAAGACACCCCGTAGTCCGGGGCTGACTCTGCGAACTGGGCCTTCACCTCCGCCTTCCGAACTTGCACGTCCCCAGCCGATGGAAGCAACCCTGATGGCTCCTGTGCCTCCCATGAGAGGCTCAACGCCTCCTCCTCCTCCGCCGCCGCCACCGCCAAATGTGGTCGACTATCGTGACGGACGCCATATGAGCCATCCCCTTTCTTGGCCGCAACCACCGCCGGGTTCACATGCAATGCCAGCCGTGTCTACTCCTCCGCCGATACCTGCACCGGTTCACGCGCCAGCTCAGGTGGCAGGACACCGGCCACCGCCGATGGCACACCCATATTCGCCGGCACCACCACCACCACCACCACCACAAGGCAGAACGACGGCCTATCCTGAGTGGGCACCGCCGCATCGCCCTAGCAGCCAGCATAACTCACCTCCTCGTCACATTAACGGTGGCCCTCCGCCTATGTTGCACGGCGGCCCGCCCCCGCCTCAACCACCACCAGTATCGAACCTTTCAGCTCTGAGACCGCCTGCCATGGCTGGTCCGCCTCCAGCTACACCCCTTCCCGGTGGTCATCCGCATGGACATGGCTATACCAATGGGCTCCCTCCTTCTCCACGACGCATGAGCGGACCAACTGCTCCCGCTCCATACGTCCCTCCTTATCACAACGGACATCCAGGTCACGGAGGACCTATCCATCCCCCGGCTCACCTTATGAATAACGGACCTCCGCCGCCGCCACCTCCGCCGCGGTCAGATGCATTTTCACATGGTCTTCATCCTCAGAGATCATCATATCCGCCGCCCCCCTCACATGCTAGCCCTCCGATTTTGAGGAACGGGTTACCGCCGCCGCCGCCGCCCCAGCCTCATGAGTTGCCTCCGTCGTCAGGTCCTATGCCCCAACGACTCCCAGAAAACAGGCCGGCTACAGCGGCGAGTACGAACCCTTCTCTTCGCAACTTACTCTCTTAAGACTTTGGCCAGCTTCTATTCCGGAGGTCCACCCAAGCCCATCCGCTGTACAAGCTGAAGCTCTTCAGGCTGCGTATATATACGAGTGTGTGTGTCATTTGTGATTTTTGCTTGGCTTTGTTTTCATTTGGAGACGATTGGTCTTCTGCATCGAATATCCTTTCCTTATTGCTTTTTTCTTTTTTTCAAAATGATTAAACTTATTAATAAAGGTCGAAAGACGACCTGAGAGATCAACGCTGCTTATATGGCGTACAATGGAGCAGATTTTTTTCGTGGATCTAGAGAATTTCTCTACCCTGTCTCAAAATTAGAGCTCATGGTAGAAGCAAGGGAATGGAAGTTGAACCACACAATGGTGGCTTTTGAATGGTTTCATCCAATATAGATGGCAAATGCAGTGCCTATGCATGGGAGAAAAAAGGTGCATTGTCAAATGTTATATAGTATATCGCGTTATTGGAAATGGCGGAACTAATGTAGTATTTGGTTTTCTGTATAATACAAAAATTACACAATTACAAAAATGATACGTATGGAGAAAAGAGAGCTGTGGTGCAATGCTATAAGCCATATGAGAGCTCTGTCATGAGGCGGAGCTAATGAGGCGGAGTTGTAGTTGCGAGGATCAGCACTACGAGAACGCGTCTAGGTACTCTATCGTATTCTTTGAGTACCGAACGGGATCCAGTTCCATATGATTAAGCGACTACGCCAGCGATTAAGCCACTTGTCAGTACCTTGTCGAGACTTCCAGCGGCCCCAAAAATAGCCCACGTTGGCTCAGCACCCCAGGGCTGTGTGTCTGAGGTCAGAGGTTGGTTGGCCGGATATGCACAACAAAGTACTAGTACCTGGTCAAAGTACCGGGCGTCAAGCTGTCCCAAAACCGTCCTTCTCAAACAACTTACTAAACAAAACAACGTCGCAATTCCTGGATTAGCATCGCGACCAAGCTTTTTATCCCTCTCGGCCAACTCAACGCAATTGCATTGATTGCTTGATACTATCGCTACTCTTGCCTCCTTCATTGGAACGACTCATCGGCATAGCGACGATTCGCAGACAAGCCGAAGTCAATCTCGACCCGACAGGCCGCATCACAATAACAAGGCTGGGTGGGCTAGAGAACAGCGGGGAGAGCTACGGTCGAGAAAAGATTGAAACATACAGAACAGGAAAGAAGGAAGGGAACTGTTGGAAAAAGACAACAGAGAATACCTGCATCAAAAGAGCTGCGGGAGCTATTATTTGCTACTTCGAGGCACGCAGCGTTTGACGCAAAACTCTCTCAGCATGGCGCAGATATTGGCGGACTTGTTCTATTCGTTTGGCAATTGCCTGAATTGCTTCCCGGGATCTCCGACGCTCAAGATTAACAGCCGGAGCTTCAAGATCCAGCGACTATTAGGCGAGGTGCGTAATAAAGAAAACAGAGAGAGAGAGAGAGAATATTCCCCTCTTGGTGTAACTGCAGCAAGCATCACGCAAGCTTAATCGCTGACGAACAAATAAACAGGGCGGCTTCTCATACGTTTACCTCGTCGAAGACACCACCTCCCACGAGCTCTTCGCCCTCAAAAAGATCCGATGCCCCTTTGGCGCAGAGTCCGTCCAGCAGGCCATGCGCGAGGTCGACGCCTACCGGCTCTTCGACCACGTCCCCACCATCATCTCGGCCTTTGACCACAGCGTCGCGACCGACCGCGGCGGCGGCAGCGGCGACGACGCCAGCAAGACCGTCTATGTCCTGCTGCCGTACTACCGCCGCGGCAACCTGCAGGACATGATCAACGCCAACCTCGTCAACCACGGCCGCTTCCCCGAGCGCCACCTGATGATGCTGTTCCTGGGCGTGTGCAAGGCGCTGCGGGCCATGCACGAGTATCAGCCTGCACCTGCGGAGCGCATGCAGATGGGCCGCGAGGAGGACCACGACGAGAATGCCGAATCCTCGCGACCGGGCGGCCGGAAGATGGGCACGAGGGGGAAGCGGACGGAGGAGCAGGAGCAGGGCGAACAGGAGCGGCCGCTGATGGACTCGGGCCCAAACCGCATCGAGGGCGAGTCACGCGGTGGCAAGATCAAATCATATGCTCATCGTGATATCAAGCCAGGTAAAGAACCTATCCCCATGTCCAAGTGTCATTCGGTCTAACCAACCATCGCCAGGCAACATCATGATCGACGACTCCGGCTCAACCCCCATCCTCATGGACCTCGGCTCCGTCGCCGCCTCCCCCGTCCCCGTCACCTCCCAGTCCCTCGCCCTCCAAATCCAAGACACCGCCGCCGAGCACTCCACCATGCCCTACCGCGCTCCGGAGCTCTTCGACGTCCGCACTGGCACGGTTATCGACACAAAGACCGACATCTGGTCCCTCGGATGCACCCTCTACGCCTGCCTCGTCGGCAAATCCCCCTTTGAGCTGCGCTCCGACGAGACCGGCGGCACCCTCAGCCTTTGCGTCCTCGGCGGCGATTGGCGCTTCCCCGACGAAAACCCCGGAGGCGCGCCCAAGCGCACAAACACCATCCAGGCCGCCAAGGCCAAGGCGACTGCGGGCGACGGCTCTGCTGGTGCTGCTGCCGGCGGTGGTTCTGGGGACGTCTCCATCAGCGAGCCCATTCGCAACATTGTCCGGGCGTGTCTGAAAGTCGAACCTGCGGAGCGACCCGACATCAATGAGCTCATCACCATGGTGGAGCAAGTTGTCGAAGAGCTGCCCGACGACCTGTCATGAGAACTGCTGCGTTGCTAACTTCCGGATGCTCTCAGCTTGAAATCTCCAATTCTTCATGACTTTGAATACTCGACTATTGATATTCAGATATGCCATTCGAGCCGTGTGAAATTTTTTTTTCTTTTTGTTATGATTTGTAGGGCAATAGGATATGATGTGAGCCTGAGACAGAAAATCGTTTATATGTTCCTATACTTTCTATACTAGCCAATGGGCGGAGCCGTCTCCTATTTATGATATCTTATCATTGTCGTGGACATGTTTATATATATGTATCTACTGCAAAAAGGCGTCGGCGTTATAACGGATTGAATGACTTGATTGATTTAGAGAAGCAAAGTAAAACAAAAGACAGACAAACGGAGAAAGATTACTCTCATAAGGAGGAATACCTATAAAGTAATGTTGCATCCTAGCGTGAACTTGTGATAACTGACAGGACAACAAAGTTATTACCTTGGTATTTCACAATTCCTCTTACTTCTAATCCCAACGAATAGCTCATTATCCATTGCGTATTTCAGCCACATCAAACCACTTCATGTCACAAGCATTATCCGAATGCTGGAAGTAGGGCATATACAATTGGTATCTTCACTTCCCTATAGCTGCAGCTTGTATGTCGCCACCTCAAAGGGCCGCAGGGTAATGTCAAACTTGTTATCTTCCAATGAAACCTCTTCGATTTCGTCCTCCAGAATATTGACTTTAGTAACGCGTTTCACATCGAACTCTGTTTGAATACTTCCTCGGCTGCGTCCACCCAAAGACTCGTATAAACGAAGGATGATGCTCCGCCCGCTGTTGACACGAAGGCCTTCACGACGGCTGACGTCCTCGTCATCGTGGCCCCGCTTGATGGTATCCAATATGATGGAGGCGGATGCATCTGCGTTGGTGAGCTTGATAGGAACACTGGTCAAGCTTTCAATGGTGGCCTTTGGTGCGGACAGCACCTTGAGTGGGGTGTTAAAAGCATACGCCGCTCTAACAGTAGTCGAAGAGAGGCCTCCCTTGTGAGGAAGAATAGCCCATCGGATCGAGTGGCGGCCCATATCCGCATGCTCGTCGGGAGCCTTTGGCGATCGAAGCAGCGATAGGCGCATTAGCTTACCAGCTGTAGCGAAACCATACTTGCTGTCATTGATGATAGAAACACCATAGTTATGCTCAGACAGATCGGCAAATCTGTGGCAACAGACTTCAAACTTGGCCATGTCCCAGCTCGTGTTGTAGTGAGTTGGTCTCTTGGTAATGCTGTATGCGGACTCATAAGAGGCCTCTGTGTTAACAACGTCGACAGGGAACTCGACCTTGAGGAATTTGGAATTCTCGTGCCAATCCACTTCCGCTTTACACTCAACCCAAGAGGTTTGGCCTTTAAGGGCTGCCGACAACGTAATGTAAGACTTGATGGAGCTATTCTTGCTAATCTTGATCTCAGTAGCAAGAGTGACGCGGTGAGGCTTAACTTCGTATAGGCTAGTTTGACCGTAGCTAAGCTCTCGACGAGTCTCAAGGTGATAAACCTCGACGTCCCAAGCTTCCCAGAAGAGTGGGATATCATCAAAAATGACAAACTTGTTGGCTCTACCGCCTTTCTCGATGGTCTCGCGCTCGTTGACCCTGTCATACAGTGAAGTGATGCAGCCGTCTTCGACGACAACGCGGAGATCGTCATTTTCTAATATGAACTGGCTGCCCACTTGCTGCACTGAAACAGCTGGCTTGTCTTCTTGGACCTTAAAAGTGCGAAGTGCAAGCAGCGGGCCATCTCCACAAGCAATGCCAACCTGGGTATCGGAAACCTCAACAAGTTCTTTGCGGTGCCAGGGCAATGTGTTGAGGACGGTGGACTCGTTCAGGCTATCAGGTTGCGAACCGCTGGCACCTAAAGCCTTGTAAATCTCTGCGAGCAGCTTATGTCCCGTCTCAAACGTCTCCTTGTATATCTAGAAGCTGGTCAGCATACAAATGATTTATTCACCAGAGGAAAAAAGCCCCGCGTTCTTACTTTGTTAGAGTCGTCATAACACATTTCGATAGAGCTACCAGGGAGGCAGTCGTGGAATTGGCAGAGAAGGATACCCTCCCACATGTTGTCAATCTGTTCAGTGGGATATTTATATGACTTGTTCTTGAGGGAGGCAAGTGTTGCAAGCTGCTCGAGATCTCGCATTAAAACCTCGGCCTTGCGGTTGTAATACTTGTTGTTTGCCTGGGTGGTATAAGTGCCTCGATGTAGCTCAAAGTATA